GCGAGAAAACTTAAAATTTCGATACATATGTGAAAAATAAACAGATCTATATAAGCAGATATGCTGTAGTTAATACGATGCTGTTGCTTCTGTGCGAGGAACCTAATTCAGGCAAATAGTTTACCTGATTAGCCAACAATGATGGAAAATTAATGCTAAAATATACAGGCCATGAAAAAATTAGGGGACTGAATAAGGATCATTATTTTGCCATTTATTATAAGCTAGTTAGTCCAAAATACCTACCTTGGCATTATGCAAGAATCTACGAAGTTCAATAAGTACATCCATCAGTTTTTGCCTTTGTGACTCGGATTTGTCGCTAGCAGCCAGAAACATGTGTTTGCATCGGAATACGCTTTCTTCCAATTCGGCAATAGATGAATGTGCATCAATGTTAACCTGTATAACAAAGCAACAGAATTTAAGGAGGGAGCAGAATAATAAAAATAATGTGAGAAATGTTTTGGTGAATCACTCTGGATGGCAAAACTATAAATCAACATTCTTGAGGAAAGGCCAAGAGATTATTTGGTCCCATTTTGTCTAGAAAACTATGCATGGACATTCATTAAAAAACACAGCTCCACCCAAACTCGCTATCCGCTAAAAGAGCCCAATCATCAATCAAACAGCGTATACATGCTAAAACGATAAACCAGTAGAAAGTATAATTATAGCAAGGAATGGATGAATTCGATTATAAGTATAAATATATGCGAAATTACTCATGAATGAGGGGAATTCATAAACTGATTAAGACAACCATGGAGCCAGTATGAGTAATCCAATAAGTTACAGACTTGGGCCGTTTCCTCCAATCTCCGAAGAACAAGCTCTTGTATCTCGTTCGGCACAAAGTATTATCTCAAAGATCGTCGAATAAAATATTTGACCATATGGTCAAGAGCTTGTTGATTAATGTTAGCTTTCGCAGTTCTGCGTTAGCTACATAAAACTTAATAGAAGGTTCGGCCCTTATAATTTTAGAGCGAAATAAATAATTCATAGAAATTACCCCCAAGAAGAA